AACACATTCCCTTTTGTGATCATTCCATATAAACAGTTTACTTCCTTGCAACTCCTGATACAATTTCCTTGTATCAGTCATGGTTGAACCAGGGATGTTGGAGCAGTAGGATTCAGAATACTGAGGTATGTTACATATGTAAATTTATTACAAAGAACTGGCTTACTGGATCATTAGGTTGGGCTGAGAAAGTGCAAAATGTGTAGGGCTCTCTGTAAAGGAAGATGGGCATTTCAGACACAAACAGAAGCTGTTTTCCAATGGTGGAATTTCTTTCCCCTCTTAGGGAAGCTCAACTTTGCTTTTAAAATTTTCTGACTATTCAAGTCTGTCTCACCCAGATTATTTAGGGCAATCCCTCTTATCAAAAGTGTTAATTAGGAACTATCAATACATCTACAAAATCCCTTTAGAGCAACATCTAGATTAATGATTGTTTGAATAACTTAAGACTTTAGCCAGTAAACTCAATATATCAAAAAAGTAATCACAGTAATATTAAAGCTATTATTTTTAATCTAAGTTCAGTAAATGGTTAATGGCTTCTTACAAGTATTATCATCCATTGCAGACTCATTCACATCACCAGATGACATCATTGTGCTATTAACCTAGCAGATGTCATTATTACAAATAATGAGAGGAATTGATCACCATTATCCATTTGGAAGCTTAATAACATCATTTTTGTTACATAAAGGAGATTTACAGATAAAATCACTGGAAAGATTTTTGTTTGTTTGTCTTTTGATGCTGGGAATCAAACCTAGGGTCTTGCACATGCTAGGCAATCCCTCTACCACTGAACTACATCCCCAACCTGAAAGTTTAGTTTTATGATCTCATCTACAAAATCCCTTTGGAGTGTTAGGAATTTTGGAGAGTTGGAGCATGTTCTCAGTGAGGAGTGGCAGTCAGTTTACAAGCAGAAATAATTTCCAGGTAAGCATTTCAGTAACATTTCCTAATAAAGATTTCAGGAGAAAATGACTCAGCTCTACAAAGCTCTAGTAATTTGTTGGCATTTATTTTCCAATCAAAAAGTTACTTTTATGAAAGCTTTGATTTGTGGAATTTTATATTCTTTTTGTTAAAGAAAGCTACCAAAGCTGTAAGGTTTAAGCTGAGGAATAAGGAATTCCCCCTGCATTTGAATTTTGAGCATATTTTAAAAACTAAAAACCAAAAAGAGCCATCCAATCCTGTCTCTTAAAATCTTGCAAGGAACTATCAGCTAGTTTTTGGTTTAACTGCCCCCAAACCAAATCAAGTCTAGTGAAAATTTATCTAGTTGAGAGACAAAATCTCAACAAACAGTTTCTTTCAGAAGTAACATTCTGACTTCTGTATGTGTAAGGAGAGTTCTGAGGATTCTGAATTCCTTGTGATTCTGTAGTACTTGTCTGCAGTCCTGTGGGAGAGACACAGGTGCTGATGTACAGAAATCCACATTCTCATAGTGCTAGCATGAGGCAAATGGAAACATCACTCATTTGTTGCTCTGTTTAAAACTAGCTCCAGTTTTAGTCATTGTTATCTTACTTCTATAAAACAAAACATTTTCATATATTTAAAATATTAGAACTTGTAAAAATGGTGAGAAATTTCTTTCTCATGATGAGTTGTCCAGTTCCCATTCTCATTAATTTCTTGCAATTATGGATTTCTGTGTATCATTTTATGGCTTCTGCATACATTTCTGACTTTTAGTTTTTGACCCCCTTTTCTTTTGCCTTTTATTTGATATACCTTTCTTATCCTTTCCTCAAAAAATTGTTTTTTTTCCTTTTTTTGAGATAGGGTCTCACTTTGTAGTTCAGGAAGGCCCTGAACTCACTGTGTAGCCCAGGCTGGCCTCAAACTCGTGACGATCGTCCTGCCTCAGGCTCCTGAGTGCTGGGATTATAGGTATGCACCACCAGGCCTGGCTCCTCACAAATTCTTAAATCACTTAATTTTTGAGATAGGAAGAGTTTATCTTTTGATATAATTAAAAATTATTTTTAAAGATTGGGAAATTGAGCACATTAATATGATGTTAGACATTTGGTTTTATATTTCTCAGTACTTTATGCTATTTTAGATTCATGTTGAATGATGATGGAATGAACATATTTCTTTTTTCTCTTTTCCATCCTCTTCCACATAATTTTATTCAATAATATGATCTTTTGTGGGCTTACTTTTACTTTATTAAATTTACTTATACAACTATTCACTGTCAGTGTTAAGTGGAGTATTGTTATCTATCATGAATAAAGATTCTTTTTTCCTTATCCTGCCAATTTTTAATTGTGTCATTTCTACATGTTCAGGCATATGGTTAACATTGCTTTTATATCTCATTGAAATATATTACATGCATACCACCAACTGGTTATTTTCAAATTTTTTTGTCATGTCTCAGTTTATCTTATCATAATTTCCTTGCATATTGAACTTAACTATAAATTTTAGATTTGAAGAGCAACTTGAATGTATATAATATTCTTTCCTTGATTATCTTATAGGTGCTACTCTGCTGTCTTCTGATTTTGATCATTTCTATGAAGACATGCTAATTGAAGATAGATTTTTTTCCGTTTTCGACTTGATCATTTTGTCTCTTTGAAAAACAATTCTCTCTTTTTTTGTTAAAATCTAATAATTAATGTTCTGTGTTGTGATTTTGAGTATTCTGACTCCATTATTCCTGGAATATACTGTGTTCTTTTGTTAGTTAAACCAGATTGTCTTTTATTTCAGGAAAGTTTTTTTTAAATGATGAAATTCTGGTTTACTTCCTTAAGGATTTACTTCAGTTATAGGGTTTTTTAAAAATCTATTTTTGACTGTCTTCGATAGCTGTATTTTTCTCAAATAAAATTCTCATATAATATACTTGTTTTTTTCATTTCTAGTTCTATATTTCCTACCATGTTTCCAACTGTCCTGTTCTCCATTCTGATTCTATTTTGTTTTATTTTTCCTCTTTTTCACCTTCCAGTTCACATTTCATTACATTTTAATGCCTCTATCTTTTTCCTAAGTTCTTTCACTTTTGGTCTTTCACAGATACAATTGCTTCTTAATTTTTTTTTTTTTTGCTTCTTAATTTTTTTAAATTTAATTTTTGTCAAAATGCTTGCTAAAAATGTTTCTCTGCAACAGCTACATCTACATTTTTTTTCCGATGATGCTCTGCTTGTTAGATTTGGTTTTTTTCCAATTTGATTTGCTTTTTCTTGTTGTTTATAATACTTTTGTGTCTGTACTCTGCTAGGTTTTTTTTTTTTTTTCCTTTTTGAATTAATTAACTTTAGCCGGTTGGATTTTTGTAGCTATGAAGGAGGCAGCATGTCCCTGGGTGAGAGATTGGGGTGGGGATTAGGGAGGTCTTATATTTTATGACTCATGCTTTTAGCAAAAATATGACTCGCATAAGTGATCTTCTGGTAGTCGTGCCTTATCTGTTTCTCTGAGCCAAGCCAGGTCAGGGAGACTGCTGCTTGCAGCCTATTCTCTTCTTCTTAGCACCCCAGATGAAAATGAAGAATGAGGCATTTGGACTGAAGAGTGAGTCCCCCTTTGCAAGGAATGCACTCTTGCTGAAACTCCCTGAGCTGCTGCTGCTGCTGCTTGACCTCTCACACTCTGCATTCTGTTATTCTTTCATATTTTTGCCCACTTTCAGCTTTTTGGCTGTTCTTCATATTTCTTAGGCTATCCATTACATCTCTCTGAATTTTTCTGAAAGGCGAATTTGTTTACTGAGTTGTTTTTCCTCATTTTCCTCCTAGTTTTGTATAATTTCCAGGAAACAGCAGGAAAGATACAGACATACACCCATATTTGTGCTAGAAGTGGAAAGTTTTGTTTTTAGTCCTCATAATGATGCCACTATATTATGAAATTGTTCAATGTCTACTTATTTTTTATATTCCTTTGTTTGCTATTTAAAGTACTCCTTAATCCAGCTCTACTTCATTCCTCTTTATTTTTATATTTTATGCTTCTGTTAAATTGCATTCAGTAATTCAGTCACCTCAATAGCAGCTCCTATTTCTCCATACTTTAATTCATTTTATTCCCTCTCTTGGCATTTCTGTTCCCATTGGTCAATCCTTTCTCAACTCCATGTGTGCTACTATGAGGTAAAATCCAGTCTGAATGTCAAGACCTACATCAAATAGCACCTATTCTTTTAGCTTTTCTCCTGACTCTACAGGATTTTATATCATTTTTATGTTTTGTGGATAATTTACAATGCCTATATTGTCACTGTATGGTGTCCCATTATATATGTTATTTGGCATCTTAAGTACTGCTTCTCCTTCGTACCATTTGGAGGAAAGCCTATGACTTAGTCATATTTGTGCCCCATTTATGCTTGAACACAGAACATTGTGCATAATGTATGTTCAATGAGCATTCATTGAAATGATAAAATTACACAAAAGGCTAAAATTATTTTCCTAAATGTGTGGTACAATTTCCTCTCAGTTCTTGCTGATGCACAATATAACCATTCATAGGGATAATTTGGTTCTTTTTTTTTTCTGAAGCCACAGAACTCTGCAGACCAAGTATCTCATAGGATGTGATTGCAGATGCATGTATTTAGTCATACAGACAGGCAAACTGTGTTTTGATTATTTTAATTGTCTTATTTGAATACAGAATAATTTGCTCTTAGGATTTTACAAGTCCTTGATAGCTGTTAAGGAGATTAAGAAACAAAAGTGGCAAATGCAAACTTCTTCAATTCTTTACCCTTAAACAGCAGATCTCTGTTATGATATAAATGCATTAATAGAAAAATTTTGTTTAAAATTTACTTTTTCACTTAAATCAATGTAGGATGAATAGTAGAAACTTAGAGAAAATCTCCCCAAGTACACTCTTGGTTTGAGAAATGTATAACTTTTTAGAAAAATAAAATGCGAATTTTATCTCCATTTCATTTAATTGGGTTTCTTACACAAAGGAATTCACACATCATTTTCTTCATCATTTTGTAGCTTTGAAAGCTGTATTTCATGAGAAAAACCTGTTCCCCAAAGAAATTCTGGATCAAAAAAGAAAACCCAAGCAATTATGTCAAGAAACAACTTGTGAAGTGAAGATAAAAAGAAGTAAGAAGCAATTATAATTGAAAGAAAAATAAATATTTCATTGTCATATACAGTACTTACATAAAATGCCAGAAAAGAATCAGGAATTATGCTCTTTTCTTTTATTCTAATTTGAACTTCTTAAAATTTCATCTGCAGATGATGTTTTATTGCTGCTTTTATTAGTCATTTTCACTTTCTCTGTATTCTTAATATTAAAAGATTGGAGTCAAGAAGGGGAATTTCAATTGGTATTCTCTTTTCCGAAATGCTTTTAAATAAAAATATTGCAATTGTAGAAAAAAAACTAACCTAACTAGTTTTCTCTTAGCAACTTTTATTGATAAACATTTTTGTCACTTTTTAAAAAATGATTTTTTTTTACTTAAATTCTTTTATTGGTACATTTTAGGTATACAACACACTTACATTTCTCATTGGGAACTTGTAACTTTGCATGATGCATCTTGGTTCTTATTTTTTCCCCATTCCTAGCCCTCCCTTCACCCACTCTACCCTTCCCTATTTACAAAGACTTTATTCCTGTTTTT